TCTCAGAAATCTTCAAGCTGTGATTTGGTTGAAATTGTAATCAACAGCAAGAACAGATTATATTTATATTGGGCATTTAGTCTAATAAAATGTCCCAGACTCTTCAGAAGTATTCTAAAACAAATTATAACACCAAGCCACCTAAAGAGAAATTAGATTAGGTGATGAAAAGTATGCAAAAGAGGTAGTTTTTAATGTACTAAGGGAGGAAAGTGAGATAGAGGTGGAAAGATGCAGAGTGTATGACGCAGAGTTTAGAGCCTGAGTACCTGGAGGCACAGCCATCGGGGTGGAACGATTGTAATCAGGAGTGCTCAAGTGTCAGGATAAGAAGAATGCAGATATCTCAGTGGGTTGTGGGCCTCAAAGAGATTCCAGAGATAGAGAGTTGAGGCCATCATGGCATTTTAAAAACAAGGATGATAATTTTAACACCAAGATGTTGCTTGACTATGTGCCAGTGTATGTCCGTGAACCTAGGAGTGATGGATGAATGGGACTAGGTGCAAATTAAGACTTGGACAACATAGTTTTGAATGACTTAATATTTATGTAGGATAAAATGAGAGACCCCGTCAGGGGTACCACAGAATAGTTAAGTCTAGAGATTACAAATCCATGAATGAGAGATACAGCAGCAACTGAACTGAAATGGAGGCAATGCTGGGCCATGTTATAATGTTCTTGGTGTCCTATTGTATATGCCCTCTAGATAAGCTATACTTTATTTTAGTGTATATTACAAAGACCAAAGCCATCATCTTCAGCCTCCCAAATACGCCTTGGGCAGAGTCCGATCAACTTGGTCAGCTCTGATGAAGAGTCATCTAGACTCGAAACATTAGCTTGCTTGTTGTCCGTGGATGCTGCCTGACTCACTGTGATCTCCAGCATTTTTGTTTTCAGTACAGATTCCGGCATTTGCAGTAATTTGCTCCTAACCTGTCCCTTCCTATTGACCTATGATCACCTGAACATGAGGTGTACAGTCAATGAGTGAATGTATTCCTCCAGTGTCTTACCAAAGTAGTTTTTTTTTGTGTGTGAACCTAGACAATAAGGGTCAGTAGACTGTATGTCAGTTATAGCATCAATCACGGTTAATTGGGATCCTGTCCTGATTGACGCCCACATAAGTGTAATTTACAATAGTAGTGGTCAGATACTTAATAAAACTTGGAAATGTAATAGCTGAAACTCATAGATATTGAGGTCAATTGTTGTGCCAGATCAGCTAACTGAACATGGATCATGGTTTGAACTTTGAAGCCTCCTAGTTTGTATAATAGTTCGATAATATGTAGTTTTTCACTAGGACACAAGCAAAACCAGAACTTGAATGTTACTACTTTTGTGTAATAAAAGTGAGACAGGAAGAGCCATCTGCTTATTTGATGCCCAATTCTGTTAGTTTTCTTATGAACACTCTATTATAAGAGGTATCTCTTGTTTTCAGGAGCACCAGGATAACGGACCCTTGTTCACAGAGCTGAAATTTTATCAGAGAGTGGCGAAGTCTGAGCACAGTGGGTAACTATGATGTAGGGTGCACTAATTGCTCATTGTATCTGTGGGACTGTACTTGTATTTAATTAGGAGAAATTTGTGTACTGTGATGCCTTTGTACAGCTTTTTTTTTAATTACTGCAACAGTAGGTTCAGGGTGAAAGTCTGCATATCATCATTGTCTTTATTCTATAGATTAAGAATGAGGAAAATAATAACTGAAACATAATTGCAGCAATGTTATTAAGATCATAAAGAAATAAGTTCATTTTGCTTTGTTTATAGAAAGAAAACACAATTATTTTAATGAAGTTTCTCTTTTGAGGTTGTAGACATGCTCGCCAAGCCAGTGGGTTCGGTTGCAAACATTTCGTCACCCTGCTAGGTAACATCATCAGCCCACCTCCGGTGAAGCGTCGGTGTTCTGTCCCACTTGTTATTTACATGCATTGGTTGGCTGGGGTGATTGGTATTACTTCCGGTTTTGTTTCCCACTGAGAAACAAAACCAGAAGTAATGCCAACCACCCCAGCAAACCGTGGCATATAAGTAACAAGAGGGACAGAACACTGATGCTTCACCGGAGGTGGACCGATGATGTTACCTAGCAGGGTGACGAAACGTTTGCAACCAAACCCACTGGCTCGGTGAGCATGTCTACAACCTCATCCACAACCCGAGCAACAAATCTTCTTAAACTTTAAGTTTTTCTTTTGTTTGTATATTTCTTTACCAGTAAAGAAGTGGATGAAGGATCACCAGTTGAGTTTCTTAGGAATACCTGCTTACTGGGGATCAGGGTTGGTTGAACATAATGGGAAAAGGTGAGAAAGTTCCAAATTTATTGCCAGTATATGCCAGACAATTCCTATCTCTTTGAAATGTTGACTTTTCTTGTCTTTACAGCTATAGGTTTATGGTATTAGACAGACTTGGTATAGATTTGCAAAAAGTGCTGGAAGCAAGTGGAAACCAACTGAGTAAAACAACTGCTTTGCAGATAGGCAGTGGACTGGTGAGTAGTTAGACACACACATGATTGGGTGATATATTGTACCAACAGGAGGCCAGAATCACAGTGAATGCCAGGCTTTATTTGACACTGTGAATGAACTGAATATTCTACATGAAGATGAATACCTGGTAAATGAGACAATCTGGGCAAAATCAGATGGATGAGGACAACTGCTAATATAACATGATAGACAACCTGCTATGTATTTGAACTCTTTCATGGCCAATTTTATTCCCTTTAGGGTTCCAAATATCAGAGTATTTCCCAAATAATCTTTTGATCTTGGGAAGAAATGCATGACATAACATATAAATGATAAGTCTGATCTTTCTATTTTACTGGGCTTTCAGACAAGGCAGACCGTTGAGACCAATGATTTCCTTCTTCACCATGGGTTAGTGAGAAGGTTCCCGCTGCATATTACTTTCCAATAACCCCAGCTGCAAAGTCAGAAGCAGTGTGATGGGTCCTAGAGGAGAATCCAGTAAACCTGGAAATGATAGCATTGGGCTGTACAGCAATTCCATTTTAAGGTGTGCAAGACCAGGTTAGAAACCCAAACCAGTCATTTTTTTAGTTTAACTGTTTATCCTTGGATGATGGTATGATAGTCTACTACTTCTCATGCTGTACTACAACTGAAAGTTTAAAAACTGACAATCTCACTGTTATTCAATTTAATAAACCTGGTTAGCAGCAAAAATGACATTGTGATCTGCCAGATGGCTGTTTAAATTGAATTGATTCAGTCAGGACCTTCAGGGAAGGAAATTTTGTATCCTTGACTGGTCAGGTTTTCATGGACTCCAGTTTTGCCCTATATGGTTAACTTTAAATGGTGTTGCAATCAATTCCTTTTAAGGGAGTGGAGAAATTCAGATATCTGTGAATTTTAGACTTTACAGATTGTAGAGTATCTATGAGAGGTTTGAAGATGAAGTTAGAACAAAGAACATAGAACATTACAGCGCAGTACAGGCCCTTCGGCCCTCGATGTTGCGCCGACCTGTGAAACCAATCTGAAGCCCATCTAACCTAAACTATTCCATTCCAAGGATTCTGGTGGTCCTCTGATCTGACACAATGGCTAATTCGTTACCGAATTACAAGTTACCGAATTGCATTTTTGTAATGCAGCATCTTAATATTGATAAACTACAAGGGTGCTGCAAATGCTTTGAAAGAAACATCCTGTAAATTTGTTTTACCCCTGATCGACTTATAGTATTAGAATCTCTTTGAAAATGTGGTCTACTTAAAGTGAAGAGAAATGAAAACCAGCTTAGTTCAACTGTTGCACATTTATTAATTCTCTAAAAATGGTTAACAGTAGTGAAGGTTAAATGCAAGGTATGTAAGGAAATATGTTTAAACCTTTTATATGTGCTGGCTTGCTATCAGCTAGGCTTGCAATGGACATGCTATGTCAGTGTGGGTTCTTGCACAAGACGAATTAGCCATTGTGTCAGATCAGAGGACCACCAGAATCCTTGCAGCAAAATAGCAACAGGGTTTACTAATTTTGCAAAGTTCTTATTACTAAAACTTTGAAGATGAGGCAATAAGCTAATATAAATTTCAGGGGCCATTTGGTTTGTTCTTGGACATGACTTGTGCAGTACCAGGTACAGTGGGTAGAATCCCTGGCTCTGAGCCAGAAGGTCTAAGTTTAAGTCCTGCTTAGGAACCATTGGCTAAGAAAGGTAGTAAGAGCATAATAGTTAGGTATCCACTTCTAAATCCTTCCAGCATACACCAGTGGTCGGTGGTAAGAGCAGTCAAGATTCCTGGTCAGCCACATGATGGAAAGAAATTGGAGCTTCTGCTATCAGCACTGACTTTTGTGTGAAGGATAAAAAAGAAACATATTAATAAATGTGAGAGATTGCAGAGTTGCAAGATGCAGAGAGATCTGGGCATCCCAGTGCATGGATCACGGAAGATTAGTGTGTAGGAACAGAAAGTAATTATGAAGGCAAATAGAATGTTATGTTTATTGGAAGAACAATTGAATACAAAAAGAAGGGATGTTATGCTTCAGCGAGAAAGGACATTGATGAGACCATATGTGGTAGTCTCCATATTTAAGGGAGAATGTAAATATGTTGTAAGAAGCTGTTCAGGCAAGGTTTACTAGACTAATCTCTGTAATAGGCAGGTTTTCTTGAGGAAAGATTGGACTGCTGTGGTTGAATCCTCTGGCATTTAGAAGAGCGAGAGATAATTTTATTGAAATATATAAAGTCCTGAAGAGTTTTGATAATGTCGATGTGGAGAGGATTTTTCCTCTTGTTGGAGATTCTAGATCTCGGGGTCATTTATAAAATAAAGGGTAATCCATCGAAGACAGAGATGAGGTGCAATTTTTTTCTTACAAAGTGTCATGTGTCCAAAAATGGAAGAAGCCGACTCTTTAAATATTTGTAAGGCGGAGGTAGATAGATTCTTGATAAACAAGAGGGTGAAAGGTTATCATAGTTAGGTGGTAATGTGGGGCAACCAGATCAGACATGATCTTTGAAATGGCAGTGCTGGTTCAAAAGGCTGAGTAGCCTAGTCTTGCTTTGTACATTTCTACTGAAAGTTGCAAACCTCAGCATTTCAAACTATCTTGGGAGGTAGGGAGTTGGCGGAGTTAGCTGCATGTTTAGTATGAATCAGATCATTATTATTATTATTATTATTATTATTATTATTATTATTAATTCATGCACAACATGAGTAATGTAACCTATCATGTGTAGGAAAACGTATTGTTCCCTGTAACTTGCAGACTGACATCTGTTAAAACAATTCATTTCTGCAGCTTGATATTTTGGAGTTTATTCATGAACACGAATACATCCATGGTGATATCAAGTCAGCAAACTTGCTTCTAGGCTTCACAAATCACAAAGAGGTATTGTAAACCGTTGTGCTGATGACAGTTATGTTTTTAATTTGCTTAATGAACAAAGGAGAGAAATAAAGACCACAAGAAAATGCTTAAACATGAAAGAAATAAACTATTCTGATGTGACTGATTTCGGAACCTCAGTCACCTTTTTTCAAATGTGTGGAAGCTGTTCTAGTGGCCATAGAATATTTGTAGCCTGTTGAATATATCACATCTCTCATTGCTGGATTCTCAAAGCATTTACTTCATAAATATTTATAATTTGCAAGTCTTATTGTCGTGTTATTTCTTGTACTGTAACACGACTCAAATAAGTTGAACTGGAATATGCAGTCTGTTGTGGGGAACTGTTGAATGGAGAGTAAATGGAAAGAGATTTGCAAAATTATTGTATTTGAAGCAATAAAAAAGTGTAAGAATATTAGTGAAGACAAATGCTGAATCACTTGAATGACGTGAAATTGTAGTTTAAGGAAAATGTGATGTCAGCAATGTCGTCAGAAAACTGGACATATTGCAGCTTATTGTATCACCGTATTTTTTTAGACAGTATTTTAGGGGTGCAGTGTTTGACTGGCAAAGTTTACATTGAGATGTTTAACATTTGTCATCTTACTTAAGAACATAAGAACTAGGAGCAGGAGTAGGCCATCTGGCCCCTCGAGCCTGCCCCCCATTTAATAAGATCATGGCTGATCTTTTTGAGACTCAGCTCCACTTACCCGCCCACTCACCATAACCCTTAATTCCTTTACTGTTCAAAAATTTATCTAGCCTTGCCTTAAAAATATTCAGCAAGGTAGCTTCAACTGCTTCACTGGGCAGGGAATTCCACAGATTCACAACCCTTTGGGTGAAGAAGTTCTTCCTGACCTCAGTCCTACATCTGCTTCCCTTTATTTTGAGGCGATGCCCTCTAGTCCTAGTTTCACCTGCTAGCGGAAACAACCTCCCTGCCTCCACCTTATCTATTCCCTTCATAATCTTATGTTTCTTAAAAATCTCCCCTCATTCTTCTGAATTCCAATGAGTGTAATCCCAGCCTACTCAGTCTCTCCTCATAATCCAACCCTCTCAACTCTGGAATCAATTGAGTGAATCCCCTCTGCACCCCCTCCAGTGCTAATATATCCCTTCGCAAGTAAGGAGACCAAAACTGCACACAATACTCCAGGTGTGGCCTCACCAGGACCCTATACAGCTGCAGGATAGCCTCCCTATTTTTAAACTCCATCCCTCTAGCAATGACAGACAAAATTCCATTTGCCTTTTTAATTACTGGCTGCACCTACAAACGTACTTTTAGCGATTCATGCACAAGGACACCCAAGTCCCTCTGCACAGCAGCATGCTGCAATTTTTTTACCATTTAAAACATAGTCCATTTTGCTGTTATTCCTACCAAAATGGATGACCTCACACTTATCAACATTATTCTCCATCTGCCAGACCTTTGCCCACTCACTTAGACTATCTATATCCCTCTGCAGACTTTCAGTGTCTTCTGCACAGTTTGCTCTACCACTCACCCTAGTGTCATCTGCAAATTTTGACACACCACACTTAGTCCCCAACTCCAAATCATCTATGTAAATTGTAAACAATTGCGGTCCCAACACTGATCCCTGAGGCACACCACTAGCCACTGACCGCCAACCAGAAAAACACCCATTTACCCCTACTCTTTGCTTTAAGACACCACTAAGGCAGGGGATCCTGGCAAGTAGGTCAGGACAGCCTTGATACCAGTCCAGGGGCTTGGACATGATCAGATGGCTGCTGTTTGTCCCTAGGAACACCTTGACCTTCAAACGTAGTTCAGTCAATATCCAAATTATTTGTTTCTGTTGTTGCTTATGCTCGGAGCTCTCCATAGGCCAACCATCCAGTCTAATTGTTCCACTTCCTGAACAAAGTAATTACCAAAAAATGATTCACTATTATTTACAAAAACATCTCCTATTCTGCTTTCACACAGGTTAATTTCTACATTTTAGCAAACAACTTTGTTGAACAAATTAATTAACAAAGTTAATATAACTCTATAATGTGGAGGTCTAAAGAAGAATCATATTGCCTCAAAACACTGGATGGAATGTTCTCTTCCTTGATATGGTGAGAGTAAGGGTAAGATTGTTCTAATTTCCTCCCTTTCTATAACCTCTGGATTACTTGTCGCTGTTGGGATGGTACTGGTGTCCTTCACCATGAAAACTGAAACAAGATATTGATTTAATGACTCTGCCATTTCTGTGTTCCCCACCAGTAACTGGGGAGTTAGTATTGGGACACTGGTTTAATCCCAGTAGTGACAGATAATGCAGAGGTTGTAGAAAGGGAGGAAATTAGAGCAAGCATCATCACCCGGGAAAAAGTACTGAGCAAACTCTTGAGATTAAAGGCAGACAAGTCCCCAGAACGTGATGCCTTATATCCTAGGCTCCTAAAGGAAATGGCGCCTGAGATAGTGGGATCCATTTGTTATAGTATTACAAAATTCTCTGGATGTGAGGAACATTCCACTGGATTGGAAAAATACTAATATAACACTCTTATTCAAAAAGGCTGGGATGCAGAAAGTAGGAAACTACAGACCACTTAGCCTAACATATATGTCACTGGGAAATTGTTAGAATCCCTTATTAAGGAAATAATAACAGATCATTTGGAATGTCAAAATACAATCCGTCAGAGTCAGCATGGCTTTATGAAGGGCAAATCATGTTTGACTAATCTGCTAGCATTCTTGGAAGATGTTACAAGCTTTGTGGACTATGGTGATCTTGTATATACAGTATATCTGACTTCAAGAAGGCATTTGATAAGGTGCCACACAAAAGGTTCATGTAGAAGGCAAGATCATATGGGGTCAAAAGTATTAGTTTGCATGGATGATTGGTTAATCAACAGAAAGCAGAAAATCAGAATAAATGAGTCTTTTTCTGCTTGGTAAGATGTAACTAGTGGAGTGTTACAAGGTTCGGTCCTCAAGTTCCAACTTTTGCAAGCTGTATTAATGACTTGGATGCAGGGATGGAAAATACCTTGGCCAAATTTACATATGACACTAAAAAGGTGGGAAAATGAGTTATAGAGTCATAGTGTTGTACAGTATGGTACAACTTGTCCAAGCCGACCAGATATTCTAAATTAAAATAGTCCCATTTGCAAGCATTTGGCCCGTATTCCTCTAAACCTTTCCTACTCGTGTACCCATCCAGATGTATTTTAAATATTGTAATTGTATCAACCTTCTCCAGTTCCTCTGGCAGCTCATTCCATGCACGCACCACCCTCTGTCTGGAAAAAGTTGCCCCCTTAGGTCCCTTTTAAATCTTTCCCCTCTCACCATAAACCTATGCCCTCTAGTTTTGGACTCCACTATCCTAGGAAAAAGACCTTGTCTAATCATCCTTTCCATGCCCCTCATGATTTTATAAACCTCTATAACGTCACCCCTCTACTTCCGACGCTCCAGGGGAAATTGGTCCCAGCCTACTCACATTCTCCCTATAGCTCAAACCCTCCAAACCCAGCAACATCCTTGTAAATCTTTTCTACACCTTTTCAAGTTTACCAACACCTTTCCTACAGCAGGGAGACCAGAACTGAATGCAGAATTCCAAAAGTGGCCTAACCAATGTTCTGTACAGCTGCAACATGAACTCCCAGCTCCTCTTTTCAATGCACTGACCATTAAAGGTCAGCGTACTAAACGCCACCTTCACTATCCTGCTGTTTGCAATGAAGAAATAAGAAATTTACAAACTGATGTGAATAGGTGAGGAAACACGGCCAAAATTCAGTAGATGAATTTTAACTTGGACAAGCTTGAGGTTATATTGGTTGAAGGAACAAAGGGCAATGTCTTATGTAAATTGAGAGAAACTTCAGAATGCTTCAGTACAGAGGGATCTAGGAGTGCTCATGAATGCATCTCACAAAACGTGTCTGCAGGTACTGCAAACAATAAGGAAGGCAATAAAAACAGAATTTGTTGGAGAAGCTCAGCAGATCTGGTTGTATCTGTGGGAAGAAAGCAGAGTTAATACTTTGAGTCCGGTGACTCTCAGAACTGTTAACAGCTGGGAAGAAGTGGTATGTCTGATGAAGACAAAGTAGGTAGTGGGTATGGAGATGATGGGGGTATAGGTGAGTGGATACATGGAGACAGAGCCCAGAGAGAGAGAGATAAGAGAGGTAGGTAAACAAAGAGATAATGGATAGCAGGCCAGGAAGGAAGAAAAGCGGAATAAGTGATGATAAGATGGATGCTTTCATGCTGACGAAAGCACTCACTGCTTATGGCCCTTAACTTACTTTCTCAAATTGTAAGTTTATTACTTTCTCAGTGCTCACTCACGTAAGCACTTGTTTGGAGGCTGCTAGCCTCTGCTGGGCCACATTGCCTTCTTAGCAGATGCTGACCTGAGCATCAAGTTAGGGGTTTCAGCGAATGTGTGTATGAAACTGCTTTCTTCATGCACAATGTTGTTAATGCTCAGTTACAGGCTTCCAGTCTTTGTAGTTTGGCTTGCTTTTTGGTACACAGAGACAGGTAGGCATTTAATCATGGTACAGTAAATCTGCGTCAGTCAAATGGAAGTGGACCTATTGCTGTGGAGCACTATACCACATCAAGGTTGCAGCATGTGCCAGCTTCTGTGGCAAACACATTGGATGTGCTTCAAGCAAATGACCAAATCTGAAAGTCTAAGGGAACCCATCCTTAGTAGTGTCAAGTTGGACAATGGTCAGTCAGGGGGTACTGAAACAGTCAGGTAATTAGCTTTTTGGGTTCTTACCCAGGGGATTGGCCACAGTCAGTTATGCACTTGGTCTTACCTTTGTACAGAGGTCAGTGTCTTTGCAGTCAGGGGATTGGACCACGCACAGTCCTACAGCTCAAATACAAGTATTCAGAGGATTTCTGGTAGTTCAGTCTGGGTATTGCGGAGAAATCAGTCTGTCCATAGCCCATGGTCAGTCCTGGGAGTTTGATC